TACTCTTTATTTGTTATTTTTTAACCTTAAAGTTGAATTAATTTTTATATAACAAAAAGGGGAGAAGTTAGTTTGAAAAATTCAATTTATAAATAAAAAAAGGAGGGCTTTAATGTTTTCTAAAATATGTCTCTTTTTCATTAAATGTTTTATTAAGGGAGAGTTTTGTCAAAAATAATTTTTTCAAATGTTTTATTATATCAAAAAGTGGGAGATTGTTGAACCATGTTTTATAATATTTTGATATAACAAATAAAGGGAAAATGTTTTTAGACTTGATTGAATTTATTCAAAGTTTTCGAAAATAATTCAAAGTCTATTAAACAAGAATTTGAGCACAAAATGTTTTTCTGGACAAGTAGTGCCGATACTATTCTTATACTATTCTTACAATATCAATACTATACGAACAGTATCAATATTGTTCATGTGGTACCGATACCAAATGTAAGAGAAGTATCGATTCTCTATAGGTAGTATTGATACTACCACTAGTTTTCCAACGGCTCAAATTCTAAAATGCAAAAGAAGTACCGATACCCAAAGGGTACTGATACTACTTTACACAGTAGTATTGATACTACTTTACACAATAGTATTGATACTGTCAAACCCAACGATCTTTAACGGTTAGTTTTATTTAAAAATAACAAAATACGTGCGTTCTTCCTCAAATTCCGGGAAAAAAATTCCATTGCGAGCTCCTTTAAGCACCCAACTTCCTCAGAGTTTCGAGAAAGTGTAAGTAAAATGTCAAAGTACTGCCTCAGTTTTGAGAAGTTTAAGACTTTAAGTAGAATCATATGAGTGGAGGAACGGGTACAATTTTTGGGTTGGCCAGCATAAACTCTAGATTGAGTTCTTGCACAGTTTCATAAAACTACAAATTTGGGACAACATGAATGGATCTAAAAGGTTTTATTCAGCAGACATTTTTGAACTTGATTACCTTTGCTGGTGTTAAGATCTGCTTCAGTACTTGAACAAAAAAATTCTAACTATTGCCTCCAGTTCATTCTGAAATCTTATATCTTCTCATTTTGTTAGTCTACCCCCAATCTAGTAGAAAGGCAGAAAAAAGATAAAACAATAATGAAATAGAAAATATATAAGAAAGAAAAAGATAGTTGAATAGGTGAAGTGAAATAAATATTGGGGCAGAACCAGTACAGTATATAATAAATAGGTCCTTCATACTTCACAAAATGTAGATATGGTGAACTGCTTTTATAGCATTTATGACCTTGGCTTTTGTTAATTAACTGATACAATAACATATATTTTCTTTTTTGTTTTCTACTTTGTAGTTCCATTTCTGCTCATTAATCTCAAACTCTAAACTCATAGAAGCAAGCGTACATGAATATTTTCAAGTCAACTTTCTTTTGTATTAGTTGCTGCAAATAACCGTCATAGACGGAGGATGTTTATTGGTTTCATATAGCTGCTGACTATTGCCATTTTTTCTCTTCTTCTTCAGAGTTGTGCATAAATTGAGTCACAATTTTCGTGATGCTACTCAGATAATACGTGCGCCATTGAAACTACCAATTGAAGCAGGCCATGTTCTTTTGAAAATCATATATGCCGGTGTAAACACAAGTGATGTAAGTTTTCTAGTATCCGTTAATGAATAATTTGGTTTTGAGTAATCTTAATTAATTAATTTTTGCATTCGACCTTTTCACTTTTATGTGTGGATGAGTAAGATTTGCTTAGATGGCTAGGACAAGCACAAAAAACGATGTGATATTGCCAAGTTGAATAAGAGAGGTGCAAATGGTTGCAAAGGCTTGGATTATAACCAAAAATCATAAAGACTGGAACAAAGAGAAGGATTAATTGAGTTTAAGAATGTAGGATATGTATTGACAGGAAGAAAGACCGGAGGTAGATAGACATAAAATATAAGAGATTGATCGAAGAAAGGAATTCCTTCTTTGTGTTTTAATTTCAGGACACCTTCAAGCCAAGGGGAGAAAAGGTTATCACTTGCAACTACTGGCTGTAGGTTCTTTCCATTTGTAGGATGAAAATTTTGGATAGTAAGAAGGGAACTGGTTGGGAAATGCCTATTTATAATTTTTTTACTATTAAAAAAATCAATTTGGTTTGTCTTTCTTTTCCCTACAAAGATAGTAAGGGTGTGGAGGTAAGAAAGAGAACAAGTATAATGATTTATTGTTTATTGTTTTGTTGATCTTAATGTTCATTCTGTAATAATTATTCCTAGGCAGTTTTCTTCCTTTTCTCAATACATTTACAATGTGTAATTACAAACTTACGCACTTATGTCTATGTTATTGAATAACATGTTACACCCAGGTGAACTTTAGCTCAGGTCGTTATTTCCTAGGAAACAAGAAAGACATCAGTTCCCTTCTCCCATTTGATGCTGGATTTGAGGTGCGGAAAAAATAGTAACTAAATGCCAACATGCGGTAATATAGTTCAGTTATGCTGATATCTTATGGTTTTAGTTGTAAAATTATCACTGCATCTGATATTAGGCTTTTTTTGGCCAAACATGTGATATTTATTCTCTTATGGTTTTTTTGCTGTTCCAGGCAGTGGGAATAATTGCCGCAGTTGGAGATTCTGTAAGTAATTTGGAAGTTGGAACTCCTGCTGCAATCATGGTTTATGGAAGTTATGCTGAATTTTTGACGGTATGATATGTTTTATTATTTATTATGTTTATAAGCATCTTGTTTCATCTTTTATTTCAATTTTTTTATTCCTTCTCTACTAAATCATATATAAATTGATAAGAGAATAAATATTGAATTTTGAACAAAACTAGGTCCCTTCAAAGCACATACTTCCCATTGGAAGACCTGATCCAGAAGTTGTTGCTATGCATACTTCAGGATTAACAGCATCAATCTCTTTGGAAAAGGTTCTTTCTCCCCAATCCCTTGTCACTCTTGAACTTTTCACCCATCACCTTACGTCGTATTTGCCTGAATTCTCCCCGTAACTTTTCTTGTCCATATATCTTCTTTTGTCACGTTTTCTTGGTGTACAATGTAGTCCTCCATTCAGACTGTTTTCTATTTTCTCTGAATATGTTTCTATCTCCCCCCCCCCCCTTTTGACCTTGTAGGTTGGTCTGATGGAATCTGGGAAAGTCGTCCTCGTAACTGCTGCTGCTGGAGGGACTGGACAATTTGCGGTTCAGGTTTGTCCTAAATTAAATTACATTTATTTATTACTTGAATTTGTCCAAACTTTATACGATAGTGGTCGACTTTAATATGATGGATACATGCTTTCCCTATTGTTTGTTGAACAAAGTCAAGCTTGGTGAGTTCTATCTATCATTTACCTTATTGTACTTTTGTTTCATTCCTGTCTTAGTTTTATACATAATGACTTTTGATATTTATTTATTTACCCAAATAGCTTCAAAGATATAATTTATATTTATATAATCATTCATTATTTCTTCCTCTACTGCTAGTAGTTCTATTTTATGGCTGTATTCATTTTATCGCTTCAACATTATACATATTATTTTTATATACTCCTATGTCATATCCTTCCTTTTTCCGGGAAGTAAACAAAAATATTAATCAGAACTATATGTGCAGCTTGCAAAACTAGCAGGAAATAAAGTTGTTGCCACTTGCGGAGGGAAAGAAAAGGCGAGGCTTTTGAAAGAATTGGGGGCCGATCGAGTCATAGACTGTAAAACTGAAGATATCAAAACTGCATGTCTGAAATTCTTGTAAACTCTCTTTTTTTGGTTGGTTGGTTGTTGGGGGGGGGGGATTCTCGACTTCATTGATTTGATACAAATTATTTTTTACTGCATAAAATTTGATCATATTTGCTGATGTTTTTCTCAATACTTTGAAATATGATTCTTTTAAAAATTAGCTAAATTTGATCAGAGGGATTGTAGTCTACTCGACTGCTTTTCCAACTGAGATAATCTCGACACCTCTTCCGTGAATATAGATATTAGTAGCCATCCTTTAATCATCGTCTATGCCACAACGTCAGATATTGATCTAAGTACTGTTTGCCTGACTAAGATTTTGATTGCCATGCATAATGGCCTGTGTGATGAGTTATACATTCGGTTGGTTTTACAAATGGAATCCAACGCTTTTTGGTTTGCCAGGTTCTCGAAGAGGAGTTTCCAAAAGGAGTTGACATTGTCTGCGAATCTGTTGGTGGTGGCATGTTGGATTTGTGCTTGAATGCTTTGGCTATCCGTGGGCGACTCATTGTTATAGGAATGATCTCTCAGGTTGTTTCAGGATTTATTGCGGTTTTGTTGTTTTGCAAATGCTTTTGCTTTCAGGCTGGCTTTTTCCTGCCACAATATAGCTATTTATGGAAAGAACATCTGCATAGGCTATTTGACCTTTACTCTTCAGGAAAGCTTAAGGTACAACTACATATACCCTTCGATCTTAATGATACAAATTTTCTATTTAGAATACATTAGATATCAACACTTTTGAATATTGATGTTGTGAATTGAGTTCCTAACATGCTGAAGTTCAATTGTAATAGGTTGAACTAGATCCAAAAAGATTTTTAGGTCTGCATTCTGTTGCGGATGCTGTTCAGCATCTCCATTAGGATAAAAGTAGTGGCAAGGTGAGCCTAAAATTTGCATCAAGTGTTTGCTCTGCTAATTCATTCACTTGATCCACAATTAGGTCTTAATTTCCATTTAACATTACAGGTTACGGTTTGCATCGATCCAACAATCAAACAGCAGATGGCCAAGTTATGATTTGAAGATGGAATTCCAACCTCAAACAACCAAGTTATATGGAAGATGGTTGGTTGGTTTGAATAAAAGGGTTTAGGATAAGTAGGGGAACACATTCATTCCATGTTTTGAAATCAGACATTCTGTTGACAAATGAAGTACAGAACCTAAGATGACAATTCGTATATCATCAGCTAAATGTCTGCGTTTCCTTTACCCTCTTAACTAAAAGTGAAAGAAATCAGTTTTGTTTCATGGCTTGGCTTCGCTATTTCCCTGCAAAAATCATTTATGAATCAGAGTTTAAACTTAAAAATATCAAAATGCAAGACCACGGACTGTGTTTTGAAAAAAAAAATGTTAATCTAAACATACTTAAAGCAATCAACGACTTTCTAGTATTCAATCAATCAAAATTTTCCCATTTTATATGAACAACTTGGTTGATAAATAAAGTGAAGAACATGCTAGTAAATTGAAACATGAAAGTTGAGTGGAAAGGAATTACTTGCACGAATTCGTTTAGATCCTCTGTTTTGGACGTCTGGCTCACCATCTACTTCCTTGTTATCTTCATCTACTGCTGCATCTTCATTACCTTGTCCTCTTCTATCTTCTTTTGACCCATATGCCCTGAGAATATACACCTATGGAACAAAAGTGTGAGCATAGTTAACAACTTCTACCCTGTAATCGTGAGCTGAAAGACAATATTCAAGAATAGAGTAAGAAATTATGGTAGTCTTATAGGAGCTGATCGGTGTTCAAGCACGAAATAGATGTTCACCTTAAATTCAGTGGGAGCTACCATCTGGAATACTAAAGCATCCCCATCTACTAGATTATGGTCAACTGCAAACCCTCTCCTACCAGCGCTAAGACCATTCTTTCCACCAAGGTATTTGGCTTCAAACTCCTCCCCTTCTTCATCCACCAAAGTCACTGTCACGTCATGATGAGGCAGGTTTTTCTTGCAGAATTGGAGTGGGAAACCCTATTCAATATGTCACAATCCAAAATGTTGTTTCATTTCCTTATTTAACAAAAACCAAAGGATTAAGAAAAAAATGAAAGAGTTGGAATGCAATGCTACGATCTTACTAGCCAAAACCCTCCAGTTACATGTGATTGGAGCATGGGCTTCACAAAACTCGGATACTGGGATTCTAAAGAAGATTCAAGTTGGTCTGCTCTTTCAATCGCATAAGCTCTTTCTTCAGCAGAAGCATAAACTCGATTAAACAAATCTCTCCGGCTGTGTCCTCGGCTGATGCTTCTGAAATAATAAACAATATAAGGCTGAAATAATCTAACAAAGTAAGAAACTCCACTCAAACACACACAATAATATATATGAATTATCCGGTCATAGCTTAACCTTCCAAGTCTCTCCAAAGGTTCAATACTTCAATAGGGACCTGCCATGCCAACCATAAAGAAATTGTGTCATCAGTTATGCCACATTGTCATTCAAACATTAACAATAGGCTACATAGACTTGCAAATTGCATAGCCGCATAGGTTGGATTAGTTTTGAGTCAAATCAATTAGGGTTTAAGGCTTGATTCATCAATCCAGTTCATTGCAGGCTCGGAACATTTCAAATTCTGAACTTATCATATTGAATTCAAGTAGCAACAAAGAAAAACATTGTAAAATACCCTTGTACACCGATAAAAGCATTTTTGGAAATGGATAATAGAAATCAAAGATTTAAATTACAGTTGCGGCAACATTTTAGCTGTATTTTATTTATTGTGGTCACAAACTTAACGGATGATATTGTGATCATTACGAATATCTCGGTCGTAATAAATTTAATTGTAGCAGTGAATTGTTGAATTTTTTTCCAATTTTACCGTGACAGAACAATAGCAAGAATAGGGACTGTTATTAGCCGTTACCATTATATTGCGGCTACAATCCACCATTTTGGATGTGATTCTACTTTATTCTGCTATTTTAAAAAATAACAATTTCGAACAATGCTACTACTGCTATGTAGCAGTGCTACTACTATTATATAGCGATCCTTATTTTGATAGCAGACCGCTACGTAAATGTATGAATTAGTATCATTCATCACTAGTTTACGACAGTTGACAAAAACCTTGAAGGTAATTTTGTAAATCGCATCTCAGAGATAGCTTACGTCTTTGTAGTTTGATTTGGGATTGTCTGCAACGCGACTAGACCTTCTCACCGCTGTTAGCTCCGCACACTTTCGAAGCTTCCAAGGCTTCCCCTGCATCATTCAGTGGACTAAGAAAATAACACTCTATAATCGAGAGACTATTTATAATTTTTAATAGTCGAATGACTTAATATGACAGTATTGTATGGTCGATAAACCATTTGTATACTTTGCCCTTATTATTATATGACTCGGACTCAATGGTATGTGAGGTCCTGAAATTCTTTATTAAAAAATCTAATGTGGCACTCGAACTATTATTGTATTTAATATGATCCTCAAATTCAACTTGATTCTTTTGACCTTTATAATCAATGATGGTCCATAAATTTATAAATGGAAGTCAAAAGTTTTAAACTAATTTTTCAACATGATAGGTATGTAAAATTTTTTATTCTTTCTTTCCTTAATATATTGAACTATATTTACTAACTAATCTAAAATAATGGGTATGTTATGATGCTGATGTGGCAATTCACGTTTGCTAACATGCTATTCATATTGACCTAAGACATAAGTAAAAAGATACCGAAAATAATTAAGGATAAATTATATGGTATTTTTTATGTTTTTCGGTCTGTCTGATTTTGGTTGTTGATTTAGAAAAAAGAGTCATTTTGATCCTTCACATTATCGGTCCGTACGATTTTACTCCATCGACCATTAATTCTCATTAACTCATTAACGAAAGCTTGACTTAACAATTAATCACAAGGTATGCATGTATCCCAACAAGAATTTAGGGTTTTTTTATTTAGCTCATTAGGGTAAGTCAATATTTATTTTGGGATCTACGTCATTTTCTATAGTGTTATTGGAACTCATCACGCCGAGGTGACAGTTCCAAAAAAAATTATTCGAACTCGTCACACTGATGTGATGAGTTCGAATAAAAAATATTTTTTTTAAAAAATTTATCACATCAAGGTAAAAAGTTATAATAAAAAAATATTTTTATTTAAACTCTTCACACCGACGTGACGAGTTTCATGTCACTGTAGAAAAGACCATAGATCACAAAATAAATATTGACTTGTCCTAATGGGCTAAATAAAAAAAACCCTAAACCCTTACTGGGCTAAATCAGGCCGGATTTGAAGAGAAAATTAATCCCTGCAGCAAAATCAGATGATACAACAGCAAACAGAAATATGGATCGGTCATTCAAACAGCCACCCAAAGTTCAATTCAGATACCTAATTGAATTAAACATTTAAATACTATCAAATTACACCTTCAAATTAAATTCATGTTCAAAATATTAGATTTTAAATTTATTATTTGCACTTATCTAAACCCAAAAAATGTTAATTAAAACGTTTAAAACACTAATAAAAAACTATTTTTATATGCTTGTAAATAAAAAAGGGCAATACATGTTTAGTACCTCAACTATCATTTTTGATCCGTTTTAGTCACTTAACTACTTATTTCAAAATCATACTTAATGTCACGTTTTTGTTTTATTATGGTCACCCACGGTTAAAAAATTAACAGAACTACTGACATGACATTTCTTTTTCGATGATTACGTTGCATTATCTTATGATGAGACATCAATATCATCGTTAAAATTTTTATGATGGTGACCAAAGTGAAACAAAAACTAAACATTTGGTATGATTTTAATAAAAATAATTAGGTGACTAAAATGTAACAAAAGTGATGGTCGAAGCACTAAATGTTTAGTTTAACCTAGAAAAAAGTGTAAAAGAGGGGGACTCGATTAACAAGTGTCTGCTGCATTTGTTTAGAAAGTTATGGATAAGATATTTGTGGAGAAAGTGGAAACAAAAGAATAGTGTCGTCACAAATTTCATACTTCCATGAAAAATTTGAGACAAAGGACACTTTGTTTGTTTCATATTATTGATGTCAAATACTATTCTAAATTTTCCAATTGCCACGTAATTAGTTAAATAAAAAAAATTAGAGTTTAACATTCTAATTTTATGGAACAAACATTTTATAAGAGGCGTGTATTACGGTTGAAAATTTTAAAGATTAAAGTTAAAAAAAAGTATCGAAGTGATAATGAAATATACTACGATCATTTTATTTTTTGTTAATTTTTTAAGGAAAATAATAAAAATATTTTAGATTTAATTTCACATGTTCCCATTTTCGTTCTTTAAAATAAGTATTGAATCGTTGTAATTCTTAAAGGTCACAGGTACAATTACCAGCGACCTAAAGGGTGATTGAGTGAGTGTTTATTATCAAATTGTTAAAAACACTCAGAACATATACTACTTTATAATCCTCTTACCTTAATAAAAATAAATAAAATTAGTTTTTAATCAGATACGTTTTAATAAAAAAATGTAATCTCTATTATAATTTTATTAATCTTGATTTATATATATATATATATATATATATATATATATATATATATATATCATATTGTCATATGTTTTAGAAGATAGATGATATTATTATCTCTTTTAGGGGGAGTTTGGATGGGAGAATGTGGGATTCACATGGCAATGGAATCCACATTACCCTCGTTTGGTTAGCTGGGAATCTCATTCCCGGTAATGTAACATTACTAACAGTGAATGTATATTATCGGGAATGTCATTACCTCATTTTTCTTAAGTATTGTTGGATTACCGGTATTTTGGACTAAAATGCCCTTACTTTTTTTCTTTAAAATATCTTTTTTCTGTCGTTAAATAATAAAAATTCTACGAATGTTAAATTACAAATTTATCCTTAAACTATTTTAGATTTACAAAAAAAAAATCTATAATTAAAATTTTATATGAAGTTCAGGGTTAAAATAAAATTTTATGTTTTCATTAAACCTTTTTATATTTTCAATTTTGTAAAAAATTATATAAATTTTATGAATTTAAATTTTTTAAAGAAAATATATAAATATTTTCCAATTTGTTAAAAAAACAAATATATAATAAGGATAATTTGGTCAAATATACATTCCAATAATCTTTTATTCCTTTAACCAAATACAATAATCTTACATTCCTGTTAAACCAACCAAACACAAAATACAACATTCTCAGTAATCATATTCCCTGATAATCTTACATTCCGTGAACCAAACGCACCCTTAAATTTTCTTTGTAAATCGTACCTTTAATGTCACTCCACTTAACGAAATCTCAAGAGGAATTCTTCTATTGATTTGAAGTTTCTAAATTCATAAAAGTCTTTAGTGATTTGTATCTTTCGACTAGTCGCAATCTTTTAAAGTGGACTCTAATAAACTTGCGTAATTTATCATAAACAAATCTATTACATGACAGTTGTATCTATTTGATATGTCAGTCTACATATAGTCATTATAATCTTAAATTTTACACCAATATTATGAGTCATTAAATAAGTCATCATATATAGATAAAAAAAATGAATGTTGAACTCTCGTTATTAACTTCTCCCCTTACATTAGACATCATTTTCTTCTTTTCATCATAATCATCAATTACGATTTTTCATTCAAACCATGAATCATCAATAATCGAAATATTTTTATCAACAAATATCAAAATATTTGATGAAACTAATAGAAAATAGAGAAATCATAGAAAAGGGGGAAAGAAACACATGGAAAGGGAAGAAATTCCCTTTTTCATTAATTGGCAACATTCTTTGTATCCCCATACCACTATCATAATCGGTAGTTCTGTTGTACGTCAACCTTAATATACGAATAAGAAAAACCTTATCGAAAATATTAATATTTGTTTAACATTTTCGGTAAAGTGTTACCTAAAACATTATTTTTTTATCAGAAATATTAATTTCTCTACTTAATTTTCGGTATAAAAAATAACATTTTAAGTAGCGCCTAGAAAAAATAATGTTTTAAGTAGTATTTTATCGAAAATATTAAATATTTTAAGTAACGTCCAATATTAATATTTTCGATCAAAAAATAATATTTTAAATAATGTATTATAAAAAAAATTTAAAAATATTAATATTTTCAACAACGGTTTATCTTAATTGTATATTAAAATTGTGGTACCTTAACATCCCACAATAATCACTCTTCACACTGGCTGCCACAAAAATTAAGGCGCGTCAGATCCAAAGCAAACAACCTTTACTCCACCATCGCACGTGCAACCCTCCCTCCCTCTAATTAATAAATTGTTGCGTTATCTTGTATTTTATTCGCTTATATTTCTTCAACCTTCCAGTACCCAAAGGGTAGGCTATTATTTTGACACGACTGTACGTCAGAAAAAACCATTAGGGGAATTTACTCTAATTATGTCT